GTGACCCATTAAGCACAAGCTAGCAGGCCCGCATACGGCCCGAATACGTTTTGCCGAATCGGCCGCGTGCGGCCCGACACACGTATTTCTTCCGGCGTGTAGAACGGGCATGTCCGCCTGGCCAACTGTCGGGCATATCCGCCTGGCCGAATGTCGGCTATGTTTACTCGGCCGAGTGTCGGCTGTGTATAGTTGGCCGAGTGCCGGCCACAACCGCCTGGCCAATCAAAAAAAGCCTACAGACGTCCTGAAGAGGTATATTCTATAAGTTCAGTACTGAAATTCTCTGAATGGCAAGATACTTTTTTAACACACTCGACTAGCTAGACATTATTTGTAACTGAGCAGATGAGGATGGAGATGGGGACTCCAAATAATTAATGTTCAGCTATGCCATTTCGGATATATATAGTTAGCTCGCGTGCGTAAGCAACCGTGAGATGTATCGCTTATGCCGCGGCAGGCTGTATTCCAGCCGTAAGCGGACCGGCTAGGGCAAGCCGAAGGATTTTGCAGCGGCATGCCATATTCTGGCCGACTTCGGTTAGAACATGGCTAAACGGTACCAAGGTAACATAACGCGGTCCGTAAGCGGGCCGGCAACCGCCGCACATAGGTAGAATTCGGTCACTTAGGCGGCCAAAATTATTTTATTATCTCTTTTAGTAGGAGACATGATAAAAAATGTCTAATAGGTTAAACTAAATAGAAAAAGGTATTTTTACCAAGTTTTGTCGACATATTGGTTTACGTAGTAGAATTTTCACATTTTTTTAAATTTAAAAGTTGAACTCACTGGTTTTTTCGTAGACTAATAAGTTTTTTTATTGATCTACGGCACGTATTTTTAGATGAGTCCACGCTGAATTTAATCAAAATTGGATGAGTACTTTTTGAGATACAGAGCAGTGAATATTTAAGGGAAGTAAATGGTACAAGATGTAGTAATTACATGGAATTCATTATTTTTCCAAATTCTTACTATGCAATTTACATTTTAAAACAAGTTTAACAAAAAGTAATTCATAAATATGATTGAAAACATAATATAAACATAATATATGACACAAATTAAAAAAATCATATTCTTAATAATAAATACTGATTAAAGTTACACATATAAAAATTAAAGTAATTTACGAGCCAAATGAAATGTCTTCGTCATCGCTTTCCATACATGTATCACAGGCTACCTCTGTGTTCGTCTCTGCAGAAACCAAAAGTCGTAAAGTTTCCTGCGAAAACGATTTTGAAATTTTTTTTTTCTCAAAGAACTGATGAGAGGGTCGGATGTCATAAGTAACCTGTGATATGTCTAGATTGCATTCTTCACGTGAAAATTTACGGCAAAGTTAAGGCGGTACGACCGGAAATGCGTATTCCGGGCTTCGGCAGCTTCTTCTGAAAACCAATAGGTAAAATGGCATTTTCGCAAATTATTGCCCCGTGTAATAAAATTTTATGCATTGTGGGGCTCATACGGTGCCACCCATACAAATCCACGTACAGTTTTGCCGTTTCCATTGCATACTCATCAAACTTTTGGATGCCGCTTGTGATGGCCTCTAAAATTGTTTGGATTCTACAAATAAAATTTTAATTTAAAAATCGTTATCTAAAGGTGAAAATAAAAGTTTGTACGTGTCGCGCTTTGCAATTAATCTTTACTAGGCTCACTGGATTATGGGGTTCGCTCCTGCATCGCTCACCCTACAGACTTCCAGCTCGCCCGTAAAGATTCATTTACAAAGCTTGACACGTAAATAACTATTATAAGATTTTTAACGTAAATTATAAATTTCTTGATTTCTGCCCAAATTACTTTCAAGTGGAATTTTTCGCAAAGTGGACCAAAGTGGACCGTAATTTTTTCTCAATTTTTAGCTAAATAAATTATTTATCAATTACAAAAAGAAAAAATACTCGGACGGGCCTGGAAAGGTAACATTTTTACTTTTGAAACGGAAAAAAGTATAAAAAGTATGTTAAAAAAGGGTGTATCTTTAATGGGCTATAATTATGCGAAATATTGACATTTATTATAGTATTTCTTTAAGAATTATAAGTAACATACCTGAATTGTCGATATCCATCACATTCACTTAATAATTGAACTTTCATTCACTAAAAAATGACTTTGTAAAATAGTGTTTGTAAGGGTGTCGAGAACGAGTTTAAGCAGCTTGCGCGACTTTCAAGTTTCGACTGATTATTGGGAACGCACATGTTCTGCTGGGACCGTGAAAGGGGTCGTCTATTGTTCTTTCGACTTTCTATTTTTCCCGTAAAGGATTAGTTTTCTTATTAATTAACTTTGAAATAAACCCTTTTTGTCTCCCTAAATCCCCGAATTCTACCTATGTGCGCCGGTCAACCGCCTATGCCGAGCGAAGGCCGACTGTTTGCGGAGTGTTTGGTGCTTACTGGGGACGCAGTGAGTTTTGAGCTGAGCGGTCGCGTCGCGTCAAGCGTCTCGACAGGAGCGTACTTTCTTTCATAGTTCCATCACCGTTAAAATTCAATAACAAAAAATCAATATCGATTCTACACGTGATAACTGTCCCAAGTGCAAAAGAGTGCAAATTGTGTGTGGTACCTCCCCCTGGATTAAGTCCTCAAGTGTTTTACCTGGATAAAATGTGTAAAAGAGACGATCAGTTCCAATGAATAATTTCCTACCACACGTGCAGGCGGCATGTGTTAAGGATCAATTTCATCACACCTGACTGGCAATTATTTCAAAACATACAAGCCAAAACCCACAAATAATTAATCATAAAGTGCCAATAATTACTTATAAAGTGCAAATAAACTAAAAGTAGTGTAACAACTAAAGAGATTAAAAACCACCCTACGGTGAAGCAGGTGATAAAGAGAGAAGTTTCAGCTTACCGGGTGGTCTAACCACCTGTCAATTGGATGCTCTTCATGAGACAAACAAAAGAGGCTAAACAAGCGAGGAAAGGTCCATCTTCAAAATTCTGATAAGTAACCTTGTAACTGCATGACCTAATACATAATTTGAAACACTAATCACGACAGGTACCTTTAAAAACCCTAAGTGATGCACTTTTCGCTTAAACACTAGTAAAAAAATAAAAAACAAAGTGTAACAGTAACATTAGTAAGACAAAACAACAACATTAGTAAAACAAAACAACAAAAAAAAACAAAAAAGAACAAACAACAAATTACAGGAAAGCTAAGTAGGACAATAAATCTCAACCCATTAATTTCAGATGACGGTCCCAACAAAATAAAGTGTTTAAACTAAACGAGACCAAAAATAAACAAACTTCTAAATGAATACACAATAAATTAAGAAAACCTAAACAACAAAAAAACACACAAACTGAATTCTAATGAATTTGATAAACAAACAAAATAAACAGTGGAAGTCAAAAAAATACCTCCCACCGGTATCGCATCAATTGCACACCTACTCAGTGGCGTAACTACGTCAAAAAAACTTGTGTATTTTTTTCCAGCTTTTGCATTCGCAAATGCTGTCACTAAATTTTGTACATTCATCTTTTTTGCTTCCGAGGGGGGCCCAAAAGCATTAGGTACTAATAACCACTACGAGACAAACGTAAACACTAGAGCAATCGGCAATGGAAAATACACTATAACGAAATCAACAAACACCGACAGGGCTGAATTAGAGGTAAACACGCAACTCGACAATTACTTAATAGGCACACTAAATGAGAACGACAAGGAAGACAAGTCCCTACAGGGTACTAATACTAATTTCCTGGTCTAGGGAGATTCCGCGTCGTACGCAGATTTGGGTCTACGTAATTGTCCCCTAAAAATCAAAATGTGTGTCCACCCGTCCTCACCTCCTTTTGTTCCCAACGGGCGTTTAGCAACGGCCCGGCGAATCCAGGAAAGGCTATTCAAACTATTCGCATGTCGCTCTAGAGCCCCAAATATTGTACCGGATGCGGTGGACATTCGCACCCAGCAAGCACGGGTGAAGAAGTGCATTTGCTGATTGCGAAAAAAAAATCGGCGTACGGTAACGAAGGCTTGTGCGAGGCACGGGAGAGATGACGCAATGGGGACGGTTATACGTCTCTTATACGCATACTTATACTAAAGCCCAAACTAAAAAAGGTTAAAATAGTAACAGGGTCGTAGCTAAAGTGTTTTTGATGCCAGGGTCATGGTCTTCATAGCCAGGGCATCAGAATAAGATTATTAAAACTAATACGAGCATTTATATAAATGGAGCATTTAACGCCAAACTTGACATTGACATTTTGATGTATTGTTTTACCCTACTAAAAACGTTTCTGTAAGTTTATTGAATCAATTTTTATTTTTGTTTTTTTATTGGAAAACTTATGTTTAAATTGTTTTGCCATCTAACTTGGTTTTTATAATAAAATAAATCTAAATAAATTTAAAAAATAAATAGAAAATTTTTCTGAAAAAAACTGAAAAATGTAACGAACATTTCATAAAAAAACGTCTCGATTAGTTATACCTAGTTATAGTTTTAAAAAAAGTTTTAAGCGTTTAAAAAACACACCAAATTTTGGGTGGGTAGAAAAATTTGAAAAAAAATTACAGAAACTTTTAGTGGGGTAGTAAATTTAAGTCCAAGGGGTCTGGTTTTATTAAATACTGGAGATATATTTCGATTTTTTAAATAAAATTTTAAATTTGTCGATAAATTATATTAGATAATAAATTGCACAACTTTAATTTGAATTATCTCAAATAGGGGAGCCTGGAGGCGGGTGAGGCGACAGGAAAAACTAACTTTTTTTCGCAAACTTCAATTTAAATTCTGTTTGCGCCGAACTTGTTTATTTAATGTCATTATAAACTATTATAAATTTGGTGTGGGTCCCATGTCTAATAACTGAAATATTGGTATACATAAAATCCACCAGCCGCCACTGTACGGCCCTAAATAGAAGTACTCTTACTCGATGGATATCGATAAAATAAAAAAACGTAATTTAATAACAAGATTTATTATAAAATTAAGCCTCTGTAAGTTTTGATTTCCTGATCTTATAAATTAAAAATCCACCCGAAGCACATGTTGCTAAAGCAGTTAGTGCAATAAATGTATATTTTGCAATATCGGCTATTTTAACTTTGTCAAAATAAATTTCCCTTAATTCTTGCACGTATTTTTCCGGAAGCTCAATACCCTGTAACATAAAAAAATAAAAATTCGGGTTTACTCAAGTATTTATATTTGCAAGATAAATTAAATAACAATATGATTATGCTCATGAGCCTGCATTGGATTTAAAAATGTTTTCCGCGACAAATAAGATTATAAAAAATAATTTATAACCATCTTTTAATTTAAATATTTGCATAGAGCAACATCTTAACAAAAATAGATTAACCAAAATTGCTGTTAGGAATCTGTTTTACCGGCTTTTAAAATGTGAATTGGTCGAATATTCCTCTAACAACAGTTTAAATCTGATATATAAACAGTTTGTAACAGTGAATGTAAAGAGGATGTTTTTGATATTCCAACCAAAATTATTAGTGCTTTATCAGTATTATATATTATAATAGTTTGCTGCCGGCAAAATTAAAAGGTTAGTATTTTTAAAAAATTGGCGTCATAAACTATTTAATAATTTTGTATTTTTGTATCGAGATAATAAAATAATTTCTACATTTTAGAATTATTTCACAAGAAGGGCACTTTATTTTGATGATTGTACTACATTTGACAACTGTCAACTAACTTAAAGCTAACTTCTTTGAAACTTTAAAAAGTTTTTATGCATGTTTGTACTTTTTATTTCGCCGGTGGTGAAATAGTATTTGCCGATAAATCATTACAAATTTCGAATGGAGTACCCATTAAATATCCTCTTTTCTTTCATGAGAAAAACTGCTTCTATATCGGATTTAAACGGTTGTTAGTACATTTTAAAGGTTTACATTTTTATTTTTACAGAGAAATTTGACAAACACTGTAATTTTGACAGCCTTTAAAACTGATTCCCAAGTTGGAAATCCTAACAATAATAAATTTTAATTATTTTTTGATAACAGTAGGTACCTATTTGTCGTACAAAAAGTAGTACGCAACTTGTTTATAAACTCATTTTATGAGCTTTTATGTGCTTAAGTATTAAATAATATTCTATAAAGGCTCTGAATGTTTTGATAAATCAGTAAAATAAATAAATTTACTAACCTCTTCGATCCACAAAAGTGGAACAACGGCTGTTATTAAATTTTTTGTTTCCTTAAAATTTTTCTGTGGTCTCAATACCATATTTAACTGAAACCTTTTCGTCCCTTTCAATGGAACACCCGTGTTCTAAAAGTTAAGTTTTAAAACTATTTTTATGTATCATAGAAACATTTGACTTACCGGCTCCACTACTAAAAATGTTTCAAAATTTTCTGGTACTGGAGGGTCAATTCCTTCGACTGTGTTTATATATTTTTTATCCGCGTGCAGAAAATGTGGAAGAGAAAATAAAATGGGACTACCTAAACAAATATGGTCATAATTTAGTTTTACTCAATGGTTTTACTTCTTACTTTTTAGTTGATATTAAAAAGTAGGCAATAGATATTACATATATTTAGGTAATTGAACAAGTTCTCTATGATTTTGTCGATAGATGTGGTAAAATAAGTCACATTGTGTCATACTTGCATATAAAAGTTAATAATTAATATATTTAATAGAATAGAATAGTGATATTAAATATAGGGAATAGGGAAATAATCATGCCCGGCTCCAGACATTTTGGTACCCCGTGCAAAAATATTTTTGCCGCCCCTCATAGTTTCCTACTTTTTAGTGCCCATTAATTAGGTACAATTTCTAAAAAAAAAACTACTTAAATAATATCGTCCCCTTGATGCTACAATTGGATATCTGAAAAAACACATTTGTAAATAAAATATTCTAAAATTGGTATGTAAGTATTTAGTAGAACTGGATTCGTAAAATTTCGAGTTATCCAGTTGTAGCATTAAGGGGAAGATAAAATTAACAAAAAAGTTCAAAAAATTATTATTTAATAACAAATAAATAAAATATCATCGCATTCTAAAAAACAGTAATATATTCTAATAATAATTATTTTATCTAACATTATAAAACTGACCAGTAGTAAAAATAAGAAAAATCTGTTTAAATTAAAATTAAATTGGAAATATCTAATTTAGAACCTATATCGTATTGTATTGACTATTTCCCTCGTCTTAATTTACACCAATCACAAACGCGCATTTTTGAATTACAAATGGTTTCTAGGTGAAAAAACTGTGTGACAGCACTTGTCAGCAGTTTTTTCGAGTTTCCCCGCGGCAAAACTTGACAGCTGTTGTCACAAAAAATTGCAATTTATATTTTAATTGTTAACTGTTACTCATGAAATAGTCTTGTCAAATACCATTCGGGCATCTAATTTTTCCTGTGAAAAAAATTGAAAAAACACAATGCCAAGTAATATTGTTTAACGAAATGCATTTGTGCAGGTGCAAAAATCCTTCTCTTCGACTCGGATTTTTGTTACCACCAGCACTAATGCTTCTTGTTAAAATATTACTTAGCAACGTGTTTTTTCGATTTTTTTCGGAAAAATTAAATGCCCTTATGATATTACTTCGAATTTTGCCGCCTCGTGCAGGGGCACGGCTGCACGTACCCTGGAGCCGGCCCTGGAAATAATTCGATACATTCTATAATTCTCGCAATGCAGGCGGCAAAAAAGGCGTTTGTGGTGATGAAAATGTATCAGAAAAACAGCCCGTGAATGGTTTGATGGTTTTCGTTCTAAAAATATTGATGTAAAAGATGCAGCCCGCTCAGGAAGACCAATCAGCGACAATAATGAGAAAAGTTGAACAAGTGAAAGAAGCACACATTGCTGAGGAACATTTATCACCAAATAGTTTAAACTATTTGCAGATGGCTGTATATCAGAAAAAACTGTATAAAAGTATTTCTTTCGGAATGTTGCCCATTTTGGCTCATTATGGGCGGCATAAAACTGGCTTCCAATATGGAGCTTATAAAGAAATATTACTTTAAATTATTCGGAAACTTACTAGGATGAGTATGGGTATACCCATTAGATTGAGTAAGCATTATAATCAAGTCTTACCAAAAAAACTTTATTCTTAGGAGGAAACTTACCAATGCACGGTTGCATGTCAACAATTCCATCAAGAAAACAATCTTTCTCATTATTCATATTTTTAGTTTGTTTGGTACAAAAGCAATCTTCTTCTGATGTGTTTGTTTTAAACCAAACAGTATTTTTGTCGATTTGAAAACGAAATCCTTCAATTCCTTTGTAAGAATCTTTCCCCGAGTAATTAATGTCAACGGCTCTAAAATGTACAATTTATTTAACGAATACAAAACCAATTTAAACCAGACACTTTGGGCATTACAATAAAATGCTTTTTTTTTTGTTCGTTAAAAACCAAAATCGGATTTTGCGAAGCGACCAAGTTTTTAATGATAAATTTAATTTATACTAGACCATATTTAAACCCTTACCTGCAAAGATCTGTAGAAAATATTTCAGAAACGCTGGACGATTCAATATCAGGATGAAACAGTGTTGAATCGGTACCGCGTACCCTTGAACATTTTTGGTTATTTGTAGATTTTGGATTTCCCCAGATACTTAAATCAGTTACATTTTTCCATTTTATTATGTTTCCCAACGAATGGATATCATGAAGTCCCCTTTTTACTGTAAGGTTGCCATCAGGTTTATTTAATTTCTAAACCAAAAATATTTCACTAGGCAATCATTAAAATATACAATATAAACTTACATAATTAAAGAATGAGAATTTTAATGCATCATCTTCTTCCTTAATGTTTTTAATAACTTTGGCTTTTTTAATAAGCCTTGATCTGACTACGCTACATACACGTGTACCCTTACAATCTTGTTTTTTTGCAAATTCTAATCCCTCAAACAATATTTTTTTTATTTCAAAATATTGAATTAAACTCTGGCCCTTAAATATTGCTCCCATTTGACTGCTAAGTGCCAGCCTTTCTATCAGGCTAAGTTCGTCGGATTTTTGTATCACAGCCTAAAATTTAAATGTGGCATTGCATATACCCTAAGTGGACTTCCATTAATTACGTGAGATAAGAATGGGTGGAAGGGGTCTAGCAAAATCTCACCAAATCTCATTTTAAGGGGGGAGTCATTGAACATTTCACGTCAACTTTTGAGTTTAAAGAATATAATTATAATGTGTTATATCTCGGAATTTTAAAATTTCGTGATATATCTCGGAAGTTAATAGACGACTTCACCCTTCACCCCTAGACAGTGTTGCCATTCGTTCATTTTATTTCGTACTAGGTGGCTCCGTAATTTCGTACTAGATTGCACAATCCATGTGGATTGTGCTAGATTGTACTAAATGATATTGGTAAAATCGGTTTTGTGTTACGAATATTTGTATGAATGAACTTTTAATTAAATAAACAAGGGGCCGTCCATAAATAATGTCACACGCTTAGGTTGGCGGGGGCTTAGTCGAAAATGTAACGGCCGGGGGGGGGGGTTAAACAGGTTGTAATGTCACAAAATTAAAAAAATATTTTAGAATTTTTTATATTAATAAAATGCAAATATTTAAAAGTTAAATGCATGATATTTATTGCAGATGATGTTTTTCAAGTTTGTAAAATGTTAAAAAATATTTAAAATGGTATAAAACCTGTAATATTTGGATTTTTTAAATAAAATTTTAAATTTGTCTATAAATTATAGTAGATAATAAATTGCACCACTTTAATTTGAATTATCTCGCTGGAGGCGGGTGAGGCAACAGGAAAAACTAACTTTTTTCTCAAACTTCAATTTAAATTCTGTTTGCGCCGAACTTGTTTATTTAATGTAATTATAAACTATTACAAATTTGGTGTGGGTCCCATGTCTAATAACTGAGATATTGGTATACCCAAAATCCACCAGCCGCCACCGGTACCTATTACCGTACCAATATCAATAAAAATCTCACTTCCGTTGAAATGTCGATCTTTTTTTACAGTTGTATTTAAATCAACGTGGTCTTAATTAAATTAAAAGTCTTAAACCACTGCGTGCCCCTTTTTGGAATTCGCATGCCCGAGTTTTGGACAATTATTTCTGCAACATTCTAAGCATTTTAGCACCCCAAAATTTTAGTAAAAACTCAAAATTTAAACCCGATCGCAAAAGTAGTTCGACTTAAATTAGAATAACTCGCAAACTATTTGATTATTCCTTAAGATATATTTACCAGAGGTAAATAAAAATTGAAACCACATTACAAAACAAGGAATGAGATTTAAGGTATAAGGTATAAGGTATATATGAACGAGTAAGTATATTTAATTTACCAGCATTGGAGTATTAAAAACTTGTACGCTATCATTGTCCATTCCAACTGAATCTTCAGGAGAAAATTTAAAATCTAAATATTCTTCATAAGTGACGGTATCCTCATCATCATCTTGAGATATAACTGTTTTTGACCTTGTTTGCCTAAGTACAAAATATACAAAATATTAGGTATGTAGATATGTAATTTAAGCCAGGTTTATATTAAAATGTAAATATGTATCTTACTTATATGTATATGGACCTTTTTCTTGTAATATTGGTTTTTTTTTCTTAGTTAGAACCTCCTCTGGATTGGTAACTTCAAAAAAATAAACTTTAAAATCAACAGAAAATGGTAGTTTTATAAACCTTTCCCATTGTTCTGTATTATTCTCCAGTCTAACATTCTAAAAAATTTAATATTAGTTAAAATTTGCATAATAGCATGCAACACTTAAATTTCTTAAACATAAAAAATAAATTAATTAAATAAAATATAGCTTTGTATTCTTAAAAAATCTATCCACTTTAAATAATTTCACCCAATAAAATATACGTACAAAGTGTTCTGATATACTATGGTGAAAAAAAGTGGACAAGGTTTTTACTTGAAAAAGGGCTACTTTGGTGATATGTTAAACAAATATAAGAAATATTAACAGTTACACTTCGCTTCTGAAGATGCCAACATCGTTGGCGAAAAGTACTTTAAGCACTTTGTGCTTTGTTTTGGTGTTGGGGAATATTTCTAATATTTGCTCTACTTTTATAAGTTTCTACGACATTTTTGGATTCAGGTGAGAATTACATGAAAATTGACTGCTAAATATTTGGGATACAAATTGCCATTGACGAGAATTATTAGTGGCTGGTTTTTCGCTATGACAATTAGTCATTTTTGACTAATTTATTTTTAGAGAGTAGGTCGTTCTAAGTTTACTCTATTACTTCTTGTATTTTATTATTTTTATGTTTTGTTAAATATTTATATTTAACAAAACTCATTTGAAGTTTTTTTTTTCAATTGGTTTAAGATAAAAACCCAAAGCGATAGGATATTTATAAGTTTAGGCCGATCTTAGTTTATAATATTAGGTACTTGTATTATAAAATTGTTGTGTTTTGTAAAAAGTTAAAAAAAAGTTAAGTAAATTTAGGATCAAAGTTCATGATTCACAGTTCCACAGGTAACAAAATATGTAGACTTTTGTAATATTTTCTTTGATTTTTGAATATGTTTTTCTAAATCTAATGTTAATGTTCTTTATATGATTATTTTTGACTTTACTAAATAAATGTGTGTCGTGGGTCGTAGCGTAATTTTAACTTTTAGTAAAAAGCATACTTTCTACACACGAAGTGCTAAGTGGACCGCTTGACCCGGGCCGGTCTCACATAGCCCATCCGTCCCTGCTGGTTTTGAAACTAAAATTAGGGGATATAGTGAAGTGGGTTGAAGTTACGAAATACATGAGTAAGTGTTGTAATAGTACTGATAGTTATATTGTACAAAATTTCTTTATAATTTGATGATTTCAGAATGGTGTGTTATTTAATTGTGTACCTACCTATGTTATTTTTGTGTTTATTTATGTAGGTATGTGTTAATTTTTAAAGCAACATTTCTTATCAAAATTCTTTTCATTTAAGTTCCCAATTTCCAACAAATACTTTTGGAACTAGGTCTACAAAAAGGTTTGTTAAAACTACTTATTTAATTAGTTAACAGATTACAGTTGGTTCAACCAACTTGGTTGTAAGATTAATAAAAAGTTATGTGGATCTGGATTAACATAAAATCTGATTAATTTTTGGTTAAAACTAACAACTATTTTTTACTGTGTAGTCTTCATAGTTAAGTTTGTCACAAACAGTCGTGAATATATTATATATGTATACATAGATAATTAAACTGGATTTTTGATTTCTTTTTCGCACCAAAGACGAAACAAATCATATATATTTGGATAGCTTAAAGTGAATTCTAGATATTGCCGTTTACTTTTGCTTTGACAATAGTGTCAATGGTTGGAAAGGGGGTAGCGGGTTAAGGGGGGTCTGGCGGCCCCCACCGAATCTGGTAAAATCGTTCCAAAAATCTTAAAGAGGGTCGAAAAACAAGCAGTATAAGCTTTTTACCGACATTACAACCCCAAACGAAAACACAGTAATGGCGAAAAATATGATTTTTTGTGATTTTTATTTTTTTCAACCAGTTTAATTTATTTTTAAATGGTTTAAACGCAATTAAAAATTTGTTTTGAATGTATGGTAGTCCCCTGAATTTTTTCAGATTTTTTGGTCAAGTAAAAACATGTGAATTTTAGGTTTAAATGCGAAAAAATCGTGAAAAACGCGTAATTTTCAAGATTCAACCCTGTAATTTTTAGGGTTGTTTTCATTTTCCCGGGGGGTGCTGTATAGTATAGATAGCGGCAATCGTCCTCTTTTGAATGCAGGCAACTGGACTTAATTTGGTCAATTCTGGTGAGCGGGGCAATTTTTTGAAAAAAACTCGAATTTTCAACTTTCGGTAAATTACGGCGCGTACTTGGTATAATGCGTCTTTGCTATAAAAAATACATCTCTATAGAGGTTTTTGAGGTCGCTGATCACCCCCGGGCGGCACTTCTTGGGGCGGCAAAAATCGTGAGAGAAAATGCGAAAAAAACTGGAAGACGGAATATAAAAATAAAAAAAATATTTGATAATTAAATATTCTCTTTCGAAATAATATAATTCAAATTCCAATAGATTTGAGATTTATACAATTACTCCCAAAATATTCCAAATCAAATAAAGCTAGCAAAAAATAGTTGTTTTTCTTTACCTAGGTCTAAGAATTTTTGTTTGTTTTTAATTCTTAAAATATTACAATTTAATGTTATATATATATATATATATAATTATATATTTTTAATTTTGCGTACGGTCCTCAAAACTGACCTAACCTCTCTTCCCCCCCCCAAAAAAAAACATGAGGGCGACAGCCACTGCTGCCCCGGGCGGCACTTTTTCTAGTTACGCCGCTGAGCTAGCCTCGAGGGGGCCCCGTATCAAAAATCTTGTACGGGAAAAGCTCCTGGCATAAAAAATTTTTGGGTGTCACGCCCAAAGTCTATTTGGCAAACAAAAAAATATTTTAGGGTATCATTTTTTGCATATACCATTTTTTTATAATTTAATAAATAATATATGTATACATAGCTTTTTATATACAGGCAAATGTTAAAATTTGGTCTAGTTTTAGACATTTACCGTTTTTCAACATCTTTTAAAAGGTTTCTATTTTAAAATAAAGGCAAGTAATTTGAAATAATTGTAACGCTAATAATTATATCTAATTTGCTATTAATAAAACCTATAATAATAACACGCAAAGCAGACTAAGTATGCGACGCAGAGCATAGAACAAAATGCGCAGACTGCGCCGCAGACAACGCATAGCGGAAAGGTGCGGGCAAAAACAATTCGTATGAGTTCACGAAAATTTTAATTTAATAGTTCGATGTATAAACAATTAAATAATAATATTATTTATTTATTTAATTTCATGCCTCAATTTTTTTAACATGTGCACATGTAATTACCCATGGGTAATATGTTTTTTGCTTACGCATGTCGAAGCCAATCGGAGGCCCCCCTAGCCGGGGGCCCCGTATCATTGATACGCGGTAGCTACGCCCCTGGTTTGCACACTCTGATTAGGTTGGTCTGAACAGGAAAGTAAAAATGTAAGCGACTTGATGCATTATCATCAGCGCTGGATTTACACTAGGGGCAGTCGGGGCTGGTGCCCAGGGCGGCAAATTTTCTAGGGCGGATTTTTTTTTTATTTTAAAAAAATATTATATTAAAACTATAAGTTTCAAATAAAATTTCAGTGTTGGGGCGGCATTTTCAACAGTGCCCAGTTTAAATCCATCCCTGATTATCATTATGCTTTTTTGTTAAAATCCTTTTTAATATTCTTTTTGTTATTTGTACAAAGTTCAATTTCAATTCTTTTTGACCTAATTTATAATACAAAAGAAATGAATTATTTCTCATTTCCATACATATTTGTTGTCTGCATTTGAATCTGCAGTCGTTTTTAACCGTTTTTGATGTACATTTTTTAATATTTTATTTATGTAAGCTATTCCAGCTATATGGTTAGTCTTTAGCATGGCATTTTTCTTATCTTTAAGCTGGACTTATACAGAAATGTACAATGCCCAATACACATTGAAAATCCTTATGACATAAATAAGGTTTTTTCTCGATGATTATTATAATCGACACAGGGCCCCAACAATCTTAAAACTACCATAGTATCACAAAACAATTAAATAAAAAAACTTTAAAAAAAGTATTTATTTGAAAACCACGTTGAATCATTATAATATAAATAATAAAGGGTAGCAAACGATCGTTTCTGTGGTAATTCTCGTTAATCAATAACTCAAAAGCTTTTGGATAAAAAAATACATTTACCTTTATTTATTTATGTTTACCTTAACGATTTATAAATTTATTTTTTAAATTAATTACAAATCAAGATACTTATTAATACTTATTGCATTCATTTAATTTTTATCGCATTTGATATTAATAAGTATTAAAGATAAATAAATAAATATAAAACTGGACCTTAAGTAATGATTCTCTACATAATAGGGTCGGCCGAAAACATGTTGTGCACTTAATTTTTTTTGTTGATTTAGCGATAAAAAAAGTAAAGCTATACATATAGGAGTGCAAAATGAAAAAAATTACATAAAAATATCTTCCTTTATCGCACCGCACTTAAAGTTTTGAAAAATGCTATTTTTGCTATTTTTTTCATCAAATGGTATTACTATTAAAACGCTAGTAGTACCTACATACATACTTGAAGTTTGGAGCATGAGAAACGAAAGCAAATTAAAACCTACCGGTTACTTGTAATTTAAAATTATTCCATGTTATTTAATAGTATATTCAATCAAGTTTTATAAACGACGTTTTAGTTACGACTTTCAGTTTGCACGAGCTTTCAAGCGAGTATTTAATAAAAACGAGCGTCTATAGTGGTTAAATTGGTCAAATATTTCCCTATAGGAAAGTGTATAAAACGAGTTGCAAACTATACTTTATCTACGACGAACAGAAATATGAATTTAAAGCCAATTTTAATTCATAAATATTTGACATTTGACGAATTTAACCACACATTAACTTTAGCCTGTGAATAAAATGCCTAAAAGCCACTGTTGTTAATTTCAGCTGACTAAAACGCCATAAAGTCACAGCTTTAGTATATTATGTATCAAGTTTTATAAACGCTATTTTAGTTACGAGTTTAATTAGGCCCGAGTTACATACTTTACTTAATCTACGACAAACACAAAACAGTATTTAAAGCAAATTTAATGTGTTTAAAGTTTGACATCTGTCAACTGTCACCCGGGCTTAACCTTACTTTTTACCAATTTATTATAAAGCTAACTTCCACTCGTGACTAAAAAGCCCAAAAACCACTGTTGCTAACTTTAGTCCGTGACTAAACCGCCATAAAGTCACAGCTCGTCAATAGTAGTAGATACAATTATTTATGCAGTTGAAATTAATGATAAGCTCAAAAAACAATATTTAAGGAACCATACAGGAGGAGATCAAAATTCTAAAACATAATGGTACACCAAAGCCACTGGATTTTCAAAGCTTTTAGTGTGTGGCGCTGACGCAAGAAAGGGCTTTATAAGGACCACCTTACAAAAAAGTGCATTATAATAAATATATTTTTATTAAAACCGAACTTCACGTAACGACACACCTGCCGTACTGTGTTCAAGCGTCTTTTATTGTTTAAAAGAATAACAATGATCATTTGTATTTTATTACTTAATATTCCAGATATGACGCTTAAGCATAGCAGATCCAGCGTTTTAATAGTAGTTATAGTTAAGAAATTCAATTTTTTATTGTATATTTTGAATCTACGCCTAAAAGTTTGTGAATCGAACAATTATAGAGCCATCCAAAACGATAGTAAAAGTTTTTCATGGATCCGACCCATTTTCAATAAGGAACGAATTAATGTCCCGAAGCAACTTTTGCCAATATTTGGTCCAAAAATATCGATTCGTTCCGCTGTATCGGGAGCAGGCTAAACAAAGTCAACAGTGACGTCATGCTACTGAGATTTTCGAAGTAATTTTTAATGAGAGGCAAAATTTTGTGAATAATATCAAATGGTGAAGAAATATGGTAGGAAAAATATAACGTGGCACTTGTGACTAATGTGGTTTACTACTGTGGTGTCATATTTCCATACTTCAAGTCTAAATGAAAATATTAAAATAAATTAAAATATAGTCTGTAGACTTGTAAAATGTGAGTTATTATAGAGAGCAATTCATGATGTAGTTCATTCTACATTACGAATGTACATGTAGAGTGGTATAACATTTATAAAAAAACTTAATTACGTGGTATATTTAAGTATCTAGTTTAAAACATATCTAGACCAAAAGAAATAAAAAGCATTTGTATTTATAAACTTTTAAACACATTGTAATAAAATTAACATATAAATTATAAATACCTCTTCTACTAGTGTTTTTATAAGTGGAGGCACTACACTAAATGCAATAACTAAACTTCCAACAAGCAGTCCTATAGAAATAAGTACATAAATATAAAACGCTCTTATTGAACAACACCCTAAACCCATCTTGGTATTTTCTATAGCACGGGTTTAAAGTAAGTACACTTATAAAAAAACGAAAAATTTTAATTTATAACAATTGAAAATTTTGATAAGGATAGTAAACAATTATCTGAATTATTAATAGGTATTTATCAAAACAATTTAAAAAATCTATTTTTGATTCCTTAAAAGTTTTTAATGTGTCCTATATTTTTGACTAAGATAGTGTATATAAAAAATACAGGGAGTCCCGAAATTAGGAAGTCAAAGTTAAACAGTGCAATCTGCATATAAAAAAGTTTGTTTCATAAACATGTATCGAAAAACGGAGTTCGGCCCCCCGAAAAGGGAAATAGAAGGATGATTTTTTAAAGTATTTAAGGTGTAAACTTAATTACGGGAGTAAACTTAAATAAATTATATTATTCTTAATTTTGACATGCTGAATATGGATCTAAAATCAAAACTGTTAAAAACATATCCAAAGTTTTTCTTGGTTAATATTTTTTTTCTGAAATTATAAATAGAGCCTTCTCCTAAAAAAAGATACTTCTGATTTGAATCGCTCAGATTCGACATTTTTAAGAAAAATGCATTTATAAATTACTTTGCTTAGCAAACCACCGCGGTGCACCGCCCTCGATGGTGTAGTATACTATATGACTATAGTCAACGCTGCGGACAACAAGCCGGGAGGTCGTGGGTTCGAATCCCACCAGGGGTATGGCTGTTTATTTGTGTTTGTCTGTGTATTCCTGTAATTGGGCCAGTACCTGTTGGAAGCACATTAAAACTTAAAATAAATATCCATTTCATATTAAATATTATATATTAAGGTGGTCCTTATTTGGGGTAATTTCAAATTGTTAGGCTCCAAGCAGTTTAAACCCCACCAAGTCGATAAAAAAAATCCCAGATTTTTTTGTAATGCGTTATTTGGTTATACTCAATGCGTTATGTTCGGTAGGTACACACTGTATGTAAAAATCTAATCTTGTTCATAATCGTTTAAATTAAATTAAACGTTTTTGATTGTTATAAATCATTTGTTGTCAAATTAAATTATTACATTTATGATGACATAATATACTGACACTGTATTCTTGATTCAGTTTGTTTATAAGAAACTTAATTTAATTATAGATTACGTGGTAACCATGGAGACCGTCGCGACGCGTCCTATTAAGTAACCTGAATTATTTCACAGGATATAAAATAATGATGCAAATATTAGAAATTCTTAAATGTTTTTGAAAATATTTACTTTGGGTAGTGATGTAGAGTGGGGAACGTTCCCTTCGTGCTGTGGCGAATATTCGCGAACGTTCGCGCACAATTAAATTGTTCGTGCGCGCATGATAGATCGTTCTTTCGTGTCCAAACGATTTATCGTGCGCGAACGTTCTCTAGAGAATTTTGAGCACGATTCTGGCCAATCGGCGCGTGTATTGCACATAATACAGCCCTGGTAATATCTTCAAATAGTTAACAAACATGCAAAAACTACTGTCGGCAACGGTATCACAAACCTCCGGTCTCTTTTGTGGCGATGCCGACCGTAGTTTTTGCATGAGGCTGTTGCGTTTTAAAAATATTTTGACTATTTTGATTTTGATTCAGTTAACACGTTCGATTCGTTGCGTAAAGGTCAGTGCTCGGGTCAGTGTGTGTGATTAGAGAGATTGGGTAGTGTTATTTTTTTTGTTTTCCGCGGGAAACTTAAATATTTGATTTCATAAATATGCCCAGAAGAAAATGCGAGGCATTTGATTTTTTTTTATAAAAAGTTTTTTGTTAAGGTACCTAAATTCTTACATGATGTTTCTACATCACGATACTTATGTACTTTGTATGCTACTTAAGATGTTACTTAAAATTTTGCTATTTTTTACTTAATAAAGTTTTTTTTTAAGTTAGAAGTAATTATTGTATTATTTACAACCCAGAATATTAATACAGTGTCATTTTTCTTAAGAAGCATTAGGAGAATTTTGAGCATTTTGAGAATTTTTAGCATTTTCGGAAAAAACAGGAAAAGTAATTTTTTGAATACTTTATCACGCCCCAAACATAAATTCTCGGGTTTTTTTCGTTTATGCTCGTTTATTCTCGTTCATGCTCGTTTGTGCTCGGGGAACGTTCTTCTAAAATACGTGCTCGAGAATTTTACATCACTAACTTTGGGTATAGAGAATAGGTACACCAATAAAAATATTTTTTAATTTTATATTTGATTATCTAATAACGTAACGTTTTAAGTTAGCCTAATTTGACCTGGTTTTTCGCACTTAAAAAATTATCGCATTAAAAACAAGTACATGTACAATGTTTTAAGAGTCCAAAAATTACGACCTCACATCAGCAAACCCAACAAATTTTAACGGAAAAAAATAACTCTAATAACTTTAGGTATAAGACATGGTATGGCTATTTTATGAGCTTGGTTTATGTGACATATTGGAATGAAGCTCCACTCGGAATTAGAGCTCCCTATAGGGCCCTATAATTGAATCGGTGAGATTAAGAACAGTACAAGTCAATAGTAAAAATTTTGACAAAATATTTAAAAAAATCAGTTTTATAGTTCTAAATGCATTCTTGTGAAAGTATTTTAACTATTATATGAAATATAATATTCATATACTGTAAAATGATGGATGGATATATCCTCTCACAAAACTTTATTTTAAACTTTAAAATTGATTTTAGAAAACCTGACCTTTCAAAATTAAATTTTTGGACTGTTCTTATTCTCACTGATTTAATTATATTAAGCCCTTAGGTATCCTAGCCTGTTTGGTGTCTTTTAGAGAACTTGCATTTTGTGATGACAGAGTGTCCACAAAAACTAAAAAAATAATGGTAAAAAACCTAGTGTCCAAAATTGTCTGATTGAACAGTGAACAATGTCCACGTCTTATTACTCAATCAGAATTTTTGATGTCTCTAATATTAAAGAAAATGCAGAAGTAAAGAAGTACCACCTTTGAATTGGCCATAGGATCCGGTTTTAATACAATTTCGTGAAAAGTTCTGGAATAATTGGTCTTAAAAAATACAACCAGTTACTGATTAAGGACGAATAACAGGTGATAATATATAAGAATAATATATATAAAACTAATATTAATATTATTATTAATATTAATAATAATAATAATAATAATAATAATAATAATAATAATAATAATAATAATAATAATAATAATAATAATAATAATAATAATAATAATAATAATAATAATAATAATAATAATAATAATAATAATAATAATAATAATAATAATAATAATAATAATAATAATAATAATACCCTTGAGAAATCCTAGGTACACATCATTTATGTCCAAGGCCAGATTGATGGGTGAATTGTACCTAAACATGCCGGTTGACGACTCTTCATTTGTTCCGAATAATAACTGTTGAGTATATGGAAGATCTTCAACGCCTAAAATTAGAAAATACCCAAGTTACAAAAAATATTAAAGATAGGATTACAGTGAAATGGAGTGAGGAATGGGCAGAAAAGGAAACTTTTGTAAATAACTTGGTAAGTGGATACAAAACGTTGAACCGTAAGCAACAAGTGGTTATAACAAGGTTAAGGTTGGGTCGCACCTATCTTACCAAATATGCTTAGGCACCTACCTGTGAAGGCTGTGGTGAAGTACTTTCGGTAAAACACATTCTTGTTGAATGCCCATCTTTACATCAGAAAAGAGTAAACTATAGTATAGTCAACCAACTAAAAGAAATGCTTGAATACAATTCAATTCATATTAAGAACGTTCTTACCTTTCTTATTGAAATTCTATTGTTAAATAAAAAAACATATAATACAAAGTCCCATTTTATTTTATGATATTTTGTGGTGTAGTATTATATTAAAGTATCATTCGTTAAATCTATAAGAAGATACCTTCGTTGGAATTTTAGTTTTTTAGCCGGTAAGAGTCCGGCACAACCCTACGTATTGTTAGGGTGTCCATGAGGATTTTCCTCTCCAGTTATGGTGCCAATGACCGCAGCTGTCGGCGCACCCTAATTTAAAAAAAAATAATAATATTTATTGTTTGCAAGAATACATAGATTTCAAAATTAAAAAACTAAACAGTAAAATTTTTACGTGTGCTAGAATTATATATGTTACGGCTAATGTGCAAACTTGGATAGTTTATAAACTAGCTGGATAGTTTATAAACTAGCCAAACTGTCAGCTATTTTAATTGAAAACATATTTTCAACTTAATTACAGGCTAGTTTACAAAATAACCAAGGATCTTGGCTAATTTACTTGAAATTATTAGGGAAACTAAAATAGCTGGATAGTTTGAATACTATCCAATTCAGTTTGGCTAATATGAAAACCAAAATTTCTAGTAACACAAAATAGCCAAGCTTTAGCTAGTTTGTAAACTAACGAACCAATTATCTGGATAATTTATTAAAAAAGTGAGGTTACGGCATTGTTTTTCGTTTTGCCGGCCTAACCGGATTTGTTTTGTGCATTTTAACATTTTTAAAATGAATCATAGGCAAAATTTTAACGCTTCCTTGTTAGAAAACTCAACAACACAACCCTACCGACTCCGCCCCATTGAAATAATGAAGTATTAGGTCTTACCTTGAAACATTTTTCAAATTTTTGTAATTGGAATCTTAGCAACGAAAATATGATTTTTTTTTACAAAAGAGTACATTTAAGGCTGTTTTGTAGGCAATTTAACAGCCGGGAATTGTTTTCGAATTTTGATTCTTAGTGATTTTGGTTTTATCTGAAACTTAAATTTGACAACTGAATCACAATCAGGAGGTCAAAATTATAAAGAAAACATGTCACGAACGTAAATATCGGTTCAGGATTAGTTTTCGTAAATTTTCACCAAAATGTCATTTTGAAAAAGTGGTCTTAGGCTTAGGCCCCTCTGAAAATAATGGAAGTTTGTTGCTTGTCGCTTGTTTAGAATTATTCAAGGAACAATCTTTCACCATCTAATCTCCTTGTTCTTAAAAGGACTGAGTGTATTGCCTACCAAAAAGCCTTAAATGTACTCTTTTGAAAAAAAAATCAAATT